ATAGATAGTCCTTTGGTGGAATGTTGGCTTCGTTTTAAAGATATAGTTATTACTTGGCTACAAAATACCATGGCAGTAGACATTAAGGCAAGCACTTTGTATGCTGAAACAGCGCACCAGCTCTTGTTGGAATTAGAACAACTCTTGGCTCTACAAAATGATCCCAGGATTTATAAAGTCAAGCAAAGCATTGCTGGACTGCTGTAGGGACATGATGCTATGAGTACCTATTTTTCAAAACTGAAGATACTACTTGATGAGTTAATGAATTATGAACATATTCCTTATTGCACCTGTGGAGGGTTGAAGACAGTTGTAAGTAACTAGGATAGAGATTGGGTAATGAAGTTTCTCATGGGATTCAATGACTCCTACAAAGCACTCAAAGCTCAGATCCTGCTAATCAAGCCATTTCCCAAATTAAATGAAGTATACTCCACAATTTAGCAAGATAAGAAGAGGAGGGATAATTCTACTGATATGCCTAGCACTGAAGGGATGGACTCGTGTCAAAAATCGTCCCAAGAGAGTCAGAAAAGAGATACTACTGCACCTTTTACAAGATACCAGGTCATTCACTCGAAAGGTGTTTTAGGGTATATAAGGACAATTTAGTCTGCATACATTGCCAAATGCTTGGGCATATTATCAACAATTGTTTCAAAATCCATGGATATCCACCAGGCCACAAGCTCTATGGAAAGCCACAAGCAAATATTACTTCCACAAGCTAGATTTCTCTACTTATGGTGCAGGCACAGGAGCAAGTTGGTTTGACTCAAGAGCAGTATACTCAGCTAATAGCTTTCCTCAAGCCGCAAATCAACCAGCTTGATACATTACCTACTAGCCATGTTCAAGGTCTGAATTTACTTTCTTCCAAGCACATAGATACACCTGAAATTTCTTGCACCTACACGTGTTTATCTGCTTACAAGACAGAGAACAAAATAAGTTCTAGCATACCTTGGGTTATGGATACAGGAGCTACAGACCATATGGTTTGCTCGGTATCCTTTCTCACAACTATCAAATCCAAAATCTCACAATCTGTTGCATTACCTAATGGAACTATGGCATTAGCCACTCATATAGAGAGTTTTAGAATCACAGACAATTTATAACTCCATGATATCTTATGTGTTCCATCTTTCTCATTCAGTCTCATATCAGCCATAAGACTAGCTCAAGGATCTAAGTGTTGTCTTGTTTCTTCTTCTGATTCATGTTATGTGCAGGACCTATCAACTTGGAGGACGATTGGTCTGGGTGAAGTAAGGAAAGGCCTTTACCATTTGATGCCAAAAGAAGTCTCTCCCACAACTCATGTTCAGGACTTAACAAAATTGAGTAACCAAGCCGTTCTGTCTGTTGTCACTAATATCAGTCAACCAGTTCTTACAATTGTTGATGATCACAACAAGTGTACTTTAGTTTATTTGCTAAAATTGAAGTCTGATGTATCTATTGTTTTACAAAATTTCTATGCCATCATAGAGACACAATTTAATTCCAAAATAAAGGTTATTAGAATTGATAATGGAAGAGAGTTTAACTTAAAATAATTCTACTCAAAAAATGGGATTATACGTCAAACCACATATGTTGAGACTCCCCAGCAGAGTGCCATTGTTGAAAGGAAGAACCAACATTCTTGAATGTAGCCTGAACACTGAGATTCCCGAGCGCATTGCCTATGCTCTGCTATACTAGAATGATTGTGTCTTAATAGCTATCTTTCTCATTAACAGAACGCCCACTCCCAGTTTTGGTGATAAAAGCCCATTTGAACAAACCAAACTACTCCAACCTTAGAGATTTGGCTACCTTGCTTTTGCCACCATACCTAGCCACAACAAACATAAGCTCGATTCAAGAGTTAAAAGGTGTATCTTTTTAAGGTACCCCTTTGGGACCTAGGGATACAAGCTACTAGACATAGAAACTAACAAGATTTTTATATCAAGAGATGTAATATTTCACGAAAAAGTATTCCCTTGTAAAACATCTAATCTTAAAGCCACTGATAACTTACCAAATCTCACTTATAAGCTGCCAAATCTTACAAATTTGCCGTATACCCAACCAAGTGATATTGACCAAAATTATCCTGTTAAATCTAATCATCAATTACAAACAGATCTACACAAGATTCCAGTCAAAGTATAGAGCCTGCAAAAAGCAATGAAAATCCTGATGAGTATGAGTTGTTATCCAATGTCCCTGACAGATCTCACATGCTGCGAAGGTCTGATAAGAACAAAAAAAACACCCACCTAGGTGCAGGATTTTATTTTTCAATAAGCATCCTCACTCACCCATTCTCAAAAGTTCAACAAGCAGAAGGGTGCTATGAAACCAGGTAGTCCATTCCCTTTATGTATAACACTTTCACACCATAAACTCTCCATTAAGCATAAAGTTTTGCCTTATCTATTCTTTAACATCCAGAGCTTGCTTCTTATCAAGAGGTTGTCAAATACCCTGAGTGGCGTAAAGCTATGAAGGCTAAAATAAGAGCACTTAAGTCAAACCAAACATGGGATGTGACCGATCTTCTACCTGGAAAGGTACCTATAGGATGTAGATAGGTTTATAAGGTGAAATTTAATGCTGATGGAACATTTGAAAGGCATACGTCAAGATTAGTGGCAAAAGGATATACCCAACTGGAGGGAATAGATTACCATGAGACATTCTCAACAGTGGCAAAATTGGTAACAGTGAGGACAACATAAGGGCTCTAACCATATTTCGATTTGTGATCAATCCGTAGATACCGATGGAAAATAAATAGGCACTCAAAACAAGTACATGTTCAAGCATCATTAACCAACTCCAATGCACCAGCCAGTTGAGTGGTGGCAAACATGCTGTGCCTCTGGATTTTTTTAGATTTGACGAGTATCTAGAATAACTAGTGAATTACAACTCTATTGTACTGCCATTTTCCTTCTTCTTATTGATGGATATCTCGTTCGTACACATCTTCTCTTTGTTTCCTAGACCTCTAGTGCGTAAACCGATTATATACCACCACTGATAAACACCTGAATAAGCGATATTCACTGGGCCAAGAGCACCCCCTCGAGTCTTTCGGTGGCATGTTTCTGTCCTCTTCCCCATTATTTAGAAAAAGTGAGCCATCGGTTCAGGTACAAGATACTATCATTACCGCATGGACAATTAGACATCCTATTGAGATAAAATTTCTAACTTGCTCTCCTCTTGCCTAGGAGGCAAAGATTGACCTCCACGGAAAAGATGATTCTCTTGCAATAACAACAGTAAGAGGATGGTATTTGCAGCAATTTGATGTTAAAAATGCATTTTTACATGGAGACTTGGAAGAAAGTTTATATGCAGATGCCTCATGGTTATCCTCTAAATGGAGCATCAAATGTCTTCAAGTTAAATAAAAGTTTACATGGCTTGAAGCAAGCGTATCGACAATGGTACTCGAAGTTATCCATTTTTATCACTAATCAGGGCTTTGAACAATCCAAGGCAGATTAGAGTTTGTTCACAAGAGCCACAGGAAGTTCTTTTACAGCTATATTGGTTTACGTTGATAACATAATTATAGCTAGAGACAATGATGAAGTTATAAATTCTCTCAAAATCTCTTTCGATGAAAAATTTAAGATTAAGGATTTAGGGAACTAGAAATATTTCCTTGAAATTGAGGTTGCTTGATCAGTAAAAAAAATCCAAATCCGTCGAAGAAAGTATGCACTGGATATTTTAGCTGATTCATGAACAATTGGAGTCATTCTAGCCAAGTTCCACTTGACCAAAACATCAAACTATCCAAAGGCAAATGGGAAATCTTGTATGATCCTGTGAGGTATAGAAGGTTGATTGGGACGTTGATTTACTTGACAATCACCAGACCTGACTTATCCTATTCAGTACACTAAGTCAGTTTATGCAGAATCCTAGAGTGTTACATCTCAATGTTGCACATAAGGTCCTTACATACATAAAGAGAGCTCCAAGATAGGGATTACTGCTTCCTTCATCTTCCATTTTACGGCTTAAAGCTTATAATGACTCAGATTGGGGGTATGTCTAGATTCTTGAAGATAAATTACAGGTTATTGTGTGTTTATTGGTTCCTTATTAGTGTCTTGGAAATCAAAGAAGCAGAACACTATTTCTAGATCCTCAGCGGAAGCGGAAAATAAATCGATGGCAGATGCGTGTTATGAACTAACGTGGCTTAAGTATATTCTTGATGATCTACAAGTTCCTCACCATAGCCTACTGAATTATTTTGTGATAATCAAGCAGCCTTGCACATAGCTACTAACCCAGTGTTTCATGGAAGGACGAAGCATATTGAATTGGATTGTCATCATGTGCATGACAAAATCCAGGAGGGAAGTGTGATTAGAAGGCATGTTAAAATTGGTTCTCAAATTGCTTATATTCTTACAAAAACTCTCCCGTCTGACACATTCTATTTTCATCTATCCAAGATGGGAGTGGAAAAAATTCACGAAAACATCCACTCTCCATCTTGAGGGAGTTGTTAAAGATAAAAAATAATCGAGCAACCAAGAAGGTCCTTGAAGCATCAGGATGCAGCTTAAGCACATGCACAAATGAATTGGATTCCAATTTCTGTTATACTAACAAATTCTCCACAACACTTGTATAGATTAGTTACAATGAATTGTATATATATAGGTCATCCCCTTTCAAAATACATAGCCAAAAAATACAGAATGTATTGTTTTTGATGTTTCATAAACTCAACTTCATTCGTCCCCTTTCTTCTACAATCTGTTGCTATTTTTTTTTTTTTTATTATGGCAAATATTTTGAAGGTTTAAGTTGGACAAAATTTAATTTTGGGATCTACTTATATGTTTTTAAAAGTTTAGGATTTAATGCCTTATGATATGAAAGTTGAGGGACACTTTTTGCATATATGAGTTAGGGATTTACTAACTTGGCAATAAACCCATTTCTTTCTTACCATTTGACATATTTTCTCTCACAATCCAGCTAAGGAATCGGGCAACAAAGAAAATTCGAGAAAAAAATGACGAGAAAAGGAAAAGGAAAGAAAAAGAGGGAAGGAAAATTAAGTTATGTTCTTCAATTCCTTCATGTCTTAGAGTGGCAAGGAAGTAAATTGTTTATGGTATAATTTTGTTAAATTTTCTAGGGTTCTAAATTGTTAATTTAGTTTCTAGATTATGTGAAAGGATACTGTTTTAGCTCAAGTTCTTTAATTGATTATTTGCCACTTGTTTTAAGGCAAGTAATTCTATTCTTAGTGAACCCTAGAATTTATAATTTAGTTTTTGAATAAGTATAAATTGGGGAAATGATTATTTGATGGAAATAATCACTTGGAAGGATGAAGTTGGGGAATAAGATGAAAAATTAAATTAGTTGAATTGTTGGTGGCTAGTTTCACTGGATTGATAGGAATGATTATTTTTATGTTGGGATGATAAATTAAGGTTAAGTAAAAGGACTAGGAAGTGGAGTTAGCTCAAACTGATCAAAGGAAATTGGGAAAATTTATTCAATTACCGAGAAATTGAGTTTAGTATTCTTGGTATAGTAGTTGTTAAATTCATTATTTTGTATCAGATTTCAAGTAGTGACGTGGAAGTTTGGGAATGCTTATCAATTCAATCAGATTGTTATCTATATCTGTGAGTGGAGAACCTACTTTTCCAAAAAAGAAGATTTCCTTTTTTATTTTATAGAAACATATTAATTATGTGAAATGTCTTATTTTTGAGAAATTAGTAAATGAACATGATTATTTTGAAATCATCAGAAAATAACTGATGTAATTACCTTAATCTTGTACACTGAAAGGCTACGACCGTGTACTAGGGTCATGTATTTCATTCCTATACGCTGAGGGGCTACAACCTTATGTAAGGGTAACTCTTATCCATTGAGTGGCTATGACCATGTGTAAGGGTACCTATTATACACTTAGGGGCTACAGCCGTGTATAAGGATGATTATATTGCTTCTATCTTGTACAATGAGAGGCTACGGTCATGTACGTAGTGTTGACCAGACGATTTATATGCATATGACTTTATAGCTATCAGATCATCAGTAGATGTTTACATTAGGTATATTTTGATGTGAATTTTACGTATATAATGGATTATTAGCCTTTAGCTTACATTTCCCCATTTACTAGAATTCAGGTTATAAAATTCAATTTGTTCAGTTTTCAAAGTAAAGCTTTCAATTTATAGTATTGAGCAATAATAATATTTCACGGATTTTCATAGATATCAGATTATTTATATTCGTTATATTTTACTATTATTGAACTAGAATGAAGAATAAAGAATTTTATGATCCAATTATGTCAGTTTTAAAAGTGTTACTAGTTTCTGAATTTCTCAAAGTTTTAATAGAGCAATAATTATGCACATATGAAAAAGTATACTTATTTTCAATTTATCCACTTACTGAGTTACAAACTCATATTTTGTTACGCTTTTCTTAGCAGATAGCATCTTTGTTGAGCAGCCTTGGAGCCTGTCGATCCACCGAGTACAACACACACACATTGTCATTAAATGTGTGACTCATTTCGTCAATTTATATAGTTCAAATTTCTTTTAGTGTACATGTATGTTTTGACAAAAATGTTAATTGGTAATTTATAGATTCATATCATGGGCTCACTGCATATTTAATATTCTCATTGTTTTTAGGTCTTTTGTTTATAAAGCATGGTAAATGTCTTGAATAGTTTGTATTTTGAAGGACTAGCGTGTTATATTTTAAATTATATGTACAGTTTTGATAATGTTGATATTTGTTCAGGTGATTTAGTCCATATTTTAAAGGAAATTCTGTCAAAATTTTTATACGAATATGTCATAGTCAAAGTAGGTTAAGTTTGCTTTGGTGGTTGGTCCAGCACTTAGTTGGTATCTACCATCAGCGCACGACACGTGTCAGGCCTATTAGGATAATTCGGGACCGGTCGTGTCAATATAAGTAGATAATTCAATTCCTTTAATATAAACCGACAGCAAAAATAAGATCATAAACAATCTGGATTTACAAACAAGAAACAATGAGTTTCTAAAGTAAAAATTCTAATGAATTACCCTGTCAAAGGCACTTTTTTCATGCCCATGTCGAAGAAGCTCGGCCACATCCGCTCGCAACTGCTTTACAATACAACTCCACTTGTTCTTGAGCAGTTTTGGACGACACTGGACACTTCGTATAAGTTTCTTACTGTAGAAAACCATTTGAATTAAATCAATACAATGAAACCTTTAATTACAAAACATAATTAGCTTAACAAAATTCCCATTTACTATTCAGTAGCTTTTCTCCATCCAAAATGGATATCAAACATTTTCAATTATATGCTTCAGTTCTTGAAGAGAAAAAAGAGCTGCTGAATTGTGAAAAATTGAATAAAATAGATCATGACCATGTTTTTTATTTAACTATAAGCCTATAAGAGTGCTTGATGATGAAGATGAAGTGACAGTTGGGTTATTACAATTTTGGGTAGTTATTTTATGGTTTGAAAAGTTCTTGTGGGATTGGGAACTGCTCCACCATCTCACTCCATGACTTGTTTGAGTTGACACTCTTTCCCTCCATTTTGTGGGTAAAATTCTTCACTATTTGGTAATTTAAAAAAATAAAAATCTTTACATTCTTTCTAAGTGGAGACGAATATCGATGCGAACAAGCAGAAGTATGATTATTAAACCCTAATTTACCAAATATCATTCTATAGATATGTTTTTCAAGTTGATGAAATGACTGCTGCAAATCTTCAGTGCAATTAATTTACGCACGTCGGTTTATTATTACATACATTTAACTTTTAATCTAAGCAAGATCCATAACTCACATTTTACTATTTTTGTTTCTCCTGTCCAATGACGTGGAAGGCATTGTCAACAAAACAATTTCCTTTAATTTGAAGAACGATAAGTGATGCAATGTGACAAAGTAGTGAAAATTTAAACTAGGTTGAATTATAATGACCCAATTGAGATTTCAATGAAAGTTCAATGACTATAGTTGAAATTTACCCTTGTGTGAAGAGTTTATGAAACTTAAAGAGAAACAACATAATTTTTTCCGTACTTTTCTCAAACATAGCAGGGGAAAAAACGATGAAGTGAAATAATGAACAAAAGAGAAATAAAAAAGAATTCTTAGAATTCCAACACACAACAAAGCGTGCAAGAAAGCTATTAGATGTTTGAGAGTAATGTTGTGTCCATAATTTCAACTAAGAGGTTCAATTGGAATTTCCTCGGTTGGAATTCTTTACTATGGTAAATGTATAAGATTAAAGTTTAAAAAGCGATTTCATTTGCAATTATTGAACTTCTATTAAAATTATAATATTAACTTTTATGATCAATTAGGTCAACAAACTTCGACTTAATTTCAAATTGGACATGAACTGTGTTTTAAATTTCACTATTGTCAATTTATCATTACGTTACATCAGAAAAGTCTCAAAACTAAAAATATGCATTTTAAGCCTTAACATAGGGTTCCACCTAAGGATAACATAGAAGATTAATTACAGTATGATTACCAACCAAGCAATTCTGTAAGTATGATAGATGATAGGTTACCAAATATAACTAAGTGGAGAGAAGAACATTTCACCTTTTTCTTGCTCACTCATCTTAAATATTTCCTTCAGATTTCTAGCATTCTACTATTTAGAATCACAAGATTCTCGTAATCATTTTTTTTTTCTTTTTTTGCACGTTGACTTTAATTTTCTGACAAAATGGTCATAGAAGTCCCAGGGTCCAGAGACAACTAACTTAATTTAAAAAAAAAAAAAAAAAAAAAATCAGATCACAGTGAAGGAAATATCTTAGGGATAAATGATCATCCTTCTTTTATTAATAATTTCTACTGTAGCTATACAAAACAGTTATGGGAGTTTTAGATGTATGGCTTCAGTTCAAATATATACTTTTAGACTTTCTCATTTTTCCATATCATTTATCGCTCTACAAACCAACATCATCGAGCTACTGCCTACAATGAAGCATTTTTCAAAACCTGCCAAAACTAATTTTTGAATAGTTGATGTGGCTCAAGTAATATTATTAAGTAATTAATTAAAGTGATTTTATGTGTTAAAATTTTATTGACACATTGAGAAGTGATAGTATTATAATACTTCCCCCGTCCCATTTACATAGGATTGTTTTGTCTTTCACACGGATTAGGAAATTTTATTTAATGTTATTGAAAAGCATTTTTTGCCAGATACTTTCCTAGTTACCATTATTTATATTTGTAAAATTTCAAGATTTTAAGTGAGAAAAATTGGTTATAATTAGGCAAATTAAACAAGGGCGTATTAGTAAGTGAACAAAATAAATCATTTTCAACCAATAAACAAACTTATATAATTGGGACAAGCAAACAAGGAAAGTTAGTCTATATAAATGGACGGAGGGATTAGTTCACACTGATGGAAAGTAGGTAGTTTTTAAGGCTTACGAAAAAACTGCATTTCTTTGCCTCTAAGCGTGAGTGAAACCCATCAAATACATAAGTTTCACTACAGAGAGGTAAAGAGAGAATTGTTCTTGGTTTCTTGTTTCTCTTTATTTTGCATGTCTAAATCTTTCCATCATGAATTCTGAAGATCTTGGAATTAGGGTTTAACTGCTGCATGTGGTATTAGAGCCAAATCAAAGCATTCTTGATTTTCCTTTAAATATTAATATTTTCCACTTGTGGATCTCTAATTATTTCTTATAGATTTATAGATTAAAAGTTTTATTGAAATTAATGAAACAAATTATTGTTAAAATTCACGGCTGCATTTTTTCGCGTCATGAAAATCCATTAATGGGTTTTTCATTTTGTAATACTGCACAGTCATTAATTGTGCTAATTTGTTTCTAGGTTCTTAGTTTTCTTCTTAATTGCTACAAATGGATCAAGAAAATGAGTCTTTTAACATTTGGTTAAAAACATGTGGTGGAACCATGTATTTTATTCATGTGGCAGAAAAGAGTTCAACCGTCCATGTATTATTTTTAGGAATATGCTATATGTACATAATGTGGTGTTCATCCCCTCACATGGATGGGGACCCACTTATGATAAATTATATTTTATTCAAAGTGGGTCCTCCTCTATGTGAGGGAGTGGACACCATTATAAACATTCTGATACATGTGTAGCATTACTCTTATTTTTAATTTTAGATCTTGAAATTGGAAGGATACAAACCTCTTTGGACTTATTTGATGAAGTAGATGCGCACAAGTGGCCTTGTTTTGGGCAACAATTAATTGTCGAAGAGGAGTTATTCAATCCTGAATAATTAATTGTCATACTGCCTTTGAATTACTTACTTTTCATGTTTTGTTCATGCAATTAATGTTAGATTAATATTGTTTGTTAGTCATCAAAGTGGCCAAACCTTATGGTATTGCGAACACTAAATTACATAATTTATTTATCAATTACTCTTGATAGTTTGATGCTTATGAATGAAGATGATATTAGAATTATTATTGTCGAGAGTATATTAACATTCATAGATTATAAAATTGTTATGGGTTGCTCAAAGGCTGATCAGTTAATTTTATCAATCTTGAACATTATCCTGACTAATTGATATATTTAGTTAGATGTATTCTGTATATATAAAGATAACAATCATATTTGATTAAAGTGTATTTAATTACCAATTGAGTAAAACGAAATTAGCATCATTATATTTATAATGATTATGTAATGTGGTATCACCTAAAGGAAAACAATGCTATAAGTTTAATGTTATGTTATTTGAATTAGGATTCGAGTATTTAAGTTCAAACTTAAAGTGTTGATGTTAGAGCATTTTATATATTTTTGTAGTATCCGTTCCCGTTTCTCTTCATTCCCATGCTTTATCTGTACTACCGTTCAATGAGTTCAATTTGACTGATTAGTTTGAACAAGTGTAGTATAATTTAGGCGTAGACTTTGGTATTTTAAGTTGAGAAACCTGTTAATCTCACTGATGAGAGTAGTGCTGATGAAAAAAATCTTTCTATTGGACTTGGAAAGGATTAAAAAGATTAACCTTATGTTTATGCGAATGACTGATAAGTTTTATACACTTATCAATGCCATTAAATTAGGATATTTGTTAGTGATTTGAATGAATTATAGCCTAATTTTGTGTTAATTATATTTGTTAGATTGAAATCAATGCACAATGATAGATTTTGGAAGAAAAGAACGAAAAACGTGCGAAAATAAAGGAATTCCAAAGTTTGGGGACTAAAATGTAAAGTGTTAATAGTTTATTCGGACCCAATATCGATTCTTGGATAAGGTGTGAATTCAATTGGATCGAATTGAAAGCTAAGTGAGTAAGAAGATATAAAAAAAAGTTGAAATGAAAGAAGATTGAAATTGAGAGATCAAAGTGCAACAATTGAAATTATTTTATACGGCTCGCGCACGGGCTTAAAGTGGCGCGCGCGGGGGACCTCATTTCTTGCGTGCCGAGGGCAAAACAACAAAGTGGCACATGCGTAGTGAAATATATTGCCTGTAAGCACGGGCCAACTTTTTGTGACGAGCCAGTTTCCTTATTCTGATGAAATTCCACATAGAAACAATATTTTGACATCATATATATGCCTAAAGACGCATAGAACGAAGAGAACCTCCCTTTTGACCTAAAAGTCATATATTCTACATATTTTGGAGGTAGAGAAGGAGAAGGAGGCCAAGCGTGAAAATAAAGGTGGATTATGCAAGTTTATTGAAGAATATTTATCCATTTTCAGTCTTCAAG